GGCTGGGGCACGCTCACCAGCACAACTAGCCCCCCGTAGCATGGGCTACCAGGGACGTGGCTCCAGGAGAAGCTGGGCAGGCCCTGCTTTAAGTTTGATTATTTTGGTCCCTGAGCAAAAAGAGCAACGAACTCTTTCTTATCCCAGCAGAACGCTGGCCTCTTGCGGGTGCCCAGCGTGCTCTCCAACCTTGACACAAGGCCTCCACGCGCCTTCACGGAGGTTTCCTGCAACTCCGGGGAAAGATTCTGACTTTTTTTTCCTTTTAAATGAAAGCATGCCCTAAAAATTTCAGCTGCTATTTTGGAGACAACCTAGCTCTTCTTTTAATTTCAGAATAGATACTATACAAGCTGATCAGCAATTAATCTGAAATTACTAATGATTTGCATGTACTTTTGGCACAGTCCTACTATGTCCTACCAAATTATGCAGCAGCCTGTGATATTCAAATTCAAAATCCTAAAAATAGAATACAATTATATAAAAAAGTCTTCTGTTTAAAACAAATACCTACTGTTATTTTCGCAGTTACTTCAGGTTTGTTTCAAAGTTGGATGCCAAAGGAAGATTTATCATAACTGTGGCATGAGACATTTCACAGCTTACATTTAAGCAATAATGGAATACAGTCAACAGTATAATGATATCAACATTTCCTCTCAATAAACCAGGCTCTAATGTCCAAACTGGATTGTGAGCTATGGCTGAGTACAGAATAGCTCCTACAGAGTAACTACAGCAGTAAGTAACTTCAGTACAAGAATCTCTCCATAAAAACAAATTTTATTCTGTGGCACAAAGCAATAATCATCTTTTGCTGTTGATTAAATGTTGAAGCAAAGTTAAAGCATTTAATCAACTGCAAAGCCCATTTAATGTAAGTGTACTCCAACACTGTAGACATTATTGATATTATATATGAAGGGAAAATGTTTATCCAGTATATCTCACAAAACCACAATTTTCTCCTTGGAGGATTTGGAATGTGGCTGTGCCAATCTCTGAAAACCTTTCTACTGATGCTGATGCTTATTTAGGGTATGTGCTTTACATGAATAACTAAATAGGCTTATACACAAGTAACAATAAATAATTCTAATCCTTAGTATGTATGTATCAGTTTCCATCCATAGGTCATCAAGTGCTTTAGAGAGGAGTAAAATTTCTGATTTTAAAAGACATGTGACATTTAGGAACAGGAAATTTCAGCTCAATATTCACAAAACGAGCTAGTGGTTCTGATGCTCCACTGGGAATAAAGTTTTCAGATCTCTGTGTCTTTTGCACAAAGTAGAGTGGCGGGTGTATTTTTTGAGCATTCTGCCTCTGACAGCATCAAAGCAGGACACCCCGAAAACACAGCAATGCAAACAATGAAATATTGGGAAAAAAAAGCCCAGTCTTTTTAACGACTTGCTCAGCAATCACTGAGGATTTTCTATAATGCCTCTGAGTACTCCAGCTCCAGATGACCCAGCAATTAATTCAGCACCTATAGGACAAATCTGAACTCAAGTTCAGACAGCGGTAACACCTCTGTGGTCAGTTAGCTATTTAGAGAAATGCAAATCTTGGCATAGAATAGATCAAGGGTTGGCTGCCCAAACTAATCTTCTCTTGCAGTGATTATTCATCTTTCTTCCCGTTTAACTTCTATGAATGATGACTGGACACTGCGGAGTAAGAGGGGAAGTCCTCTTCATGTACAGCATCATTACTCATCTGCTGGCAGTGCGGGCAGAACTTACGCTGACACATCCCAAAGAGATGTTTTTTGGGAATACAAGGCAAGGCCCACAGACATGGCTACTCTCCCACCACAATTATCATCTTGGCATATTGAAAGTGGCCAGCCATGAGAATCCTCATCAGTCTCTGAAGTGATGGCTGGGAAAGAGACAAGGTCTAAAAATCTCAGATCCCGCACACTAGGAAATTAATTTTTGAAACATGAGCTGGTCACCCAGCGAAGCAGGCTGGGCAGCCAGTATACAGACAACTTCTGTGGCTGCCCAGGGTTGTCACTTGCTCAAATTTTGGCCTCAAGGAAGAGCCTATTTTCCAATGTGTCGATGGACAAGTCTGTTTCCAAACACAGGTCACACGACTCTGCCTATGCATAACTTAGGCATGGTAAAACACTATTCAGAAATAGTTTTAGATACCACACTTGCCCTTGAAGCCCTCTTCCCCTTTTATCTTGAAGAAACTAACAAACACAAGAAATGGTCAAAATAAACACACGGACATATTACTAGGAAAACAGTGAGACAAACAGAAGGTAATTTTTGAGGTGATAGAATCATTTCAAACAGACTCATATATTTTCTCCCTGAAGAATTTACTTTTTTGGCTCAAAAGCCAAAATAGATGGTTTAGGTTTGATGCAGAGCCTGTTAAAACCAACAGAACCTCCCTTCTAACTTTAAATGACTGCAGGAAAAAATCACAGATTTTAATTTCTTTGCACTGCACCAAAAAAAAAAAAAAGAAGAAAAGCTTCACCCTCAGTACACAAAACTGTTGCCAGTAAGTCATCCCCCATCACCCTACACAGTTTCCATTGCATCTTTCAAATAAGGACTCAGACACTCAAGACCATGAAGGGAACAGAGTAAATAAAAGGTTAGAATATAATCATTAAAAATTCTTTCACTCTCTAGAATTAAATTCCCCCTTTCTTGCTATTATGCTTCTACGAGCAGATGCAGAGATGCCTCCGGATGGTGGGTGTATGGGACCTCCCAGTTTAACAAGGGGAACCCCTGTGACCAAGGCCTGCTGAGACCATTTTCCACATAAATGGCCTGGATTCAGCTTGACGTCATCCTCCCTGTAAATCTTACTTGACTCATGGCCAAGAGTATGGGGGTCCATCTTGTAGGGTCGCTGGGCTACTTAGCCAAACTCTTGTCATCTCACCTCACTACTCACAACTCAGGCAGGAAAAATTGAAGTTACATGTCCCCGTATCTGGTATCTACCTCCAGCCCAAGGGCTTTTCTCCTTATAAACAAATAGGAAGGAGGTAAAAGCAGAGAGGGAAAAGCAAACATTTCCAAAAATAGAAAGCTGAGTGAGGAAAAAGAGCGAACACGGAGATTAGTAGAAGGCATATAGGCAGCTGCTTATTTTCTTAAGGACCTTAGCTTGTAACGAAAGGCAATATCAACGTCTGGCAGGAGGATACCAAGGCCCATACGACTGTTATCAAGTTTGACAGCTTTGTTCTCCACTAGTTCTACATCAAAATGAGCCAATAGTAAGAGAAGAAACATCTTCATCTCATTCATTGCGAGGAACCTCCCTGGACACATGCTGATCCCAGAGCCGAAGGGCATTAGGAAATACTTCAGTTTTCTTCCTGCCTTGTAGAATGTGGTTTTCTTTTTGCCATTCTCTATGTATCGATCGAATTTATATTCCTGAAAATAAAAGAGAAAGAGAGAGAGAGCGTGGTATCTAACAAGGCAGTTACATGAGTTGCTTTGTTTGCACAATGGTAATACTTCTGAAACCCAGAAAATAAGATAAAGACCAAGACAAGGAGCTGACAGCTTCTCCTTTTTAGTTGGTTCCCTCAAGTTTCATTAATTCACATTATTTTCCCTGCAAAGAACATTCCTTAAATCTACTTACTTAGCTTAGCCCTTTTACATCAAGCTCCTTCAACTTCCACGTCTCCTCCACTGAGTGTCTGGCCTATATTGATTGTAATTAAAACTTTGACCGCTTTGTAGCAGGGACAATGAACCTTAGTGGAAGGACAATTTTCTTGTAAAGCATCATACACGCTCAGTGTGGTACATACATCATGAATAAGGATAATCTCCCAAATTCTGCAAATGCCTATGAATAAATTAATGTATTGCACCGATCTTGTTCTTGCAAGCTAGAGCAAAACCCATCCTTCTTTTGCACCCAGTGGTGCAGATTATTCGAAAACCAGACCTGACGCCTTGCAGTCAATTTTCCCTTCAGCTGGAAACGGTTGCCGCTTAATTTGCCACATCTGACCTTCAGTTTGCTCCGGAAGCTGTGCACAAAGCAGGACAACCATCAGTGACTGACCATTATAAAGAGGGTGTTTTCAAGTAAGGCTTGGGGTTGCGCTTGTAACCTAGGTTCCATAAATTGAACATCTTTCTGGTTATTTTCCAGTAGCAGGATCCCTGTTTAGAGATAATTCATGTTTTTGAATGAAGGAGATCTGGCATCCTCACTCAGTCAACAGCAAATTAACCACTTACAAAATCCTCCTGCATGCTTTGAATAAAAATGACAGACACTTCTTGCTTATGGTCACTCATTAGCATTTGTCCTGCTTTGCATACATCTGCTATAGCAGCAGCCATTTGGAGCTGGCTGGGAACAAGTCAGTCAGACAGAAACCAACCTCAACTGATTAAAAAAGAAGCACACCACAATGAAAAATCCACTGATACTGATCTCCCCATTAGATTAAAGGCTCTGAAAATCATGCACTGCAGGTCTTGCTGTCGAGAAAAAACTGTGGCAGGGGAGGTGGTCTACGAGAAACAGAACAAGTACAAGGTGCACTGGAGGGGATGTAGCTTTGGGTGTTGAAGAACAGGAGCTTGTTTCTCCAAATGGCAGAGGCCTGGATTTTCTACAAAGATAAAGGTGATTATATGCATTTTTCCACTGACAAGTAATCCTTTTCAGTCTCTTTGAACCCCCCAGCCAAAAGGAAGCATGCCATTTTTTTTCCCCTGGTTAAGTTACTGCTTCATTTGAAGAAGCACAGTAACAAATGAAAGCCCAGAATAACACTTCTTCCTTAAAAAAAAGATTCACTTCCTGAAATGTAAATCCTGCTGGTCTAAAAAAGCACTGCTAAATATGACCTGTAATAGCTTAAAAAAACAACTCAACCCAACACAGAGCTCTTCACTTTGTTGGAACACTTCCACAAGGTGCACCCCTGGCATCTGGAACAATTAAGAACTGTGGTATTGAACACATAGACACACTGGGTCAAACCTTATGCTTTCTTTGTGATCTTAGGAGCCATCTGAGAGTCGAAATTACTTTTAACAAAAAATAAATTCGTGTCTAAGGAACTGGGAAAGCAGAAAACAAGTGTGAGACAGGAATGGAGCCAATGACAGTGGCACCAAACTCAGGCTTGTGCTGCTGAAGCCCCTCGGGTTGTACAGTGTTTCCTTAAAAGCTATTTCACTGGCTAAATAAAGACTAATTTCTGACAGTAAAGGAACTTTCAGCCATGCACAAGGCCTCCTTGGAAGAGACAGGGTGAAGGAAGGTGAAGACACTGAGCAAGAACAGGCGATGAAGTTCTGTGTGGATGGCCTGCTAACAGTATTATGAAAACTGAGCAATCTGTAAGTCTCCCTCTGTCACATCTCGTATTTAGCTTTGCTTGGGAAGCCACCACGCAGGGTTTCCTGCAGGGCTTCCTGATGTTTCGCTCTATGGGATTTGCGGAGTTCATTTACTAAGCTCTGTAACTTAGCCGAGTTAGGATTTAGGGGTTGAATTACCCACTTTATAAAAAAAAGACTCCTTTATTTAGGCTTTGATGAGAAAGAGGTCAACAATATATGCTTATACAATATGGTGCCAAAGCAGAAGATAGCTTGAACTTAAATTTATGTATCCAGGAGAAAAGCTTTGCTACAAAATTATCTCGTCAAGCTGCCTGTTTTCCCAGGGAAGTTTTCCCTAAATACATGACAAGCTCAAGACTGCACCTTTCAAAAAATTCATTCTCCATCTCTATCTGATCCTCAGTAGTTATTGTTGAAAGCACACTGCATATTTTAAGAACCAAACAGAACAGTGATTTCCCCACTTTTCGAGAGGGCCCATGTGCTGAAATCAATGTACTGCAATGTGTGGACTGCTCATTCACTATCAAAAAGATAAAATATATGAACTAAAGCTGTACTGTGAAAGCTGAGCAGAGCTGATACTAAGCAGATATATTCAAGCAATGGAAATATGGTAATATATTCCGGCAATTATTGGATAAGGGAAGGGATCAGTTTCCACACTGATGCTTTTGGTCTAGGACCTAAACAAACAGATGGACTTTTGACAAACCAATAATGTTCTCCAAAATAAGTGTTAAGAATAAAATGAGAAAAAGCTTATTTGTTAGTTGTTGCTTTTTAAGGATAGAAATATTAATCAACTATTTGCCAATATATGGATTATTTTTTAAATACCTAATTTTCTCAGCAGGCTTTGTCTTCATTTTTGGGTGGGAACACGGGCAGAGCCCTCCTGGATGTCATTCTCATTTTTATTGCTCCACTGTTGCTTGCTGTGACCATACCTGACACCTGCTAACTCCAACATGCTCCACACCTCCTCTCACTGAGGGTCGAGATGCTGTCCCGCACCAACAAGGCACTTGAATCTCATCTTTCCTCTGCAACCTCATATCCTGACATTCTGAAAGGGAGAGCCTCAGGGAGCAATGCCTCTAACATGGGTTTTCTAGAAAGATGTAAAAAATTCCAGTTCCCTTCTTTGGCTCAAGTGCCAAGGGTGGAAATCAGCATGACTGGGAGACAGCCATGTGCTTAGGAAAATGGGGATGAGGAACGGATCAGGTACAAGCTCTTGCTTCTCAGGCAGAGATGGCATTTAACAGCCTCAGCATACGCCCCTGCGCTTCCTCGGTGGCACCCTAGGCTGGGGACAGCAATCCGGGGGAGCAACCCAGTGGAGATGAGGACTATTCAATTTGCATGCAGGTGGTGAACTTCTGAAGCCGTATTAAGGCTGAGGCAGGGTGGATTAATTTCGAGTCTTTGATATTCATTAACTCGAGCGTCAGAGAAAAATACAAGGAGATGACACAATTACCCTCCGAGCTTCGCTGCAGAGCAACAGCTTTGCAGTCTCAAGTTCACAACACTCTACTAATTGATCAAGAAGGGGTGAATCTCTACGAAGGGAGGTGAAAAAGCATAAGGCTCAAGTAAGACACTGCTATTATAGGGCTTCAGAGAGTCAATGATGCTTTGGGGGCACTTAGCTAAATGGCTCACATTATTTGCTATTTAAACCACCTTCTATTATCCAGCTCTTCTTGGGTATCAAATGATCCACTGCCAAACAAAACCCACATTTATCCTAAAGTTTATGGTAGTCAACATGCAATTGTCAGTTCCTTTGAAAGCAGTTGCAGTCAGTCTCATCACCATATTTCTCTCTTCAGGCCATGAATCCTTTGACCTATAGGGCCCTAGAAAATATATCTGAAAGTAGGAAGATTTGTTCCACAAGAAGGAACAGCAGTACAAAAAAAAATCACAAACCCACAGATCACAAAAGGCTTGGCTGCTGCAATGTGCCTGGAGTAGGAAGGGTAGCACCAGCTGAATGTTTACCTTAGGATCTTCATAGACCTCAGGGTCCATGTGCAAAATCTGCGGGTAAAGGGCTATCCAGTCTCCTTTCCTCAAACTGACTTCTTGATTCCCTTCAAGCTTGAGAACAAAATCCTCCTGGCTGATGCGAATGTTCATGGAGGACGAGCACATTCGTAAACTCTCGTTTAAGGCACTCTCTGCGATTAAACAAAAGCGGAGTGGGGGGAAGCGTCAGAAATATGGGAGATGATTGGAAGTTATACATGGCTACAGCTGCTGCATCTCGACAGGTTTAGTAGGGCAGACTAAAGGAAAAAAAACAGAAAAACCAAACACCCAGAAACAAAACATAAAGCAGAGACCAGGAGGAGGCAATAAACAACCCCGCAGGGCTGGAGGGGGGAGCCGCGACGCTGCACCTCCCGATGTGATTCTCCCTGATGGTGCTGAGAAATCCTGTCGGCTGTAGGCAGCACCGAGTTTTGGGTGGAAAGTCATTATTCAGGCATCATGTTGAAAACAACGCAATCAAAAGACACGAACACTTTACGCTTTTACATGTATTTTGGCGGTTGCAAGCAAATACCAGTGAAAGCATCTACGGAGCTCTTCAGCTTGCCTTTCGAAAGCTCTTGGATGTAATGGCAGGAGAGTAATGGCAGTTAGAAAAAATCATTTCACTTGTTAATTCTGTAGTCATTCTGAAGATTTTAAAATTTATTTATTTTGTTTTCAGTGTGCTACGCTGCCAAATGATAGTGTCTGTTATGGTCAGAGTGAATGAAAGCAATTCATTATTTGCCTGGTAATTTTAAGAGAGAAAGACACTTTTAATTGGCCAAGAGCAAACAAAACATAGTCCTTTCAGGCTTAGGGAAGGCAAGATTTCTGTCTCCACCATCACATCCTGGAAGGCTCCAGAAGCTGAATGTCCTTGCTTTCCCAGTGGCCTTCACCTTTTGCTCCTAGCACGACAGATTTTATGGCTAATTTCCGGCAATTTATCCTGGCAGTTTGAGGAGGAATTCCTTTGGGAATAATATGCATAATTTGCATAAATCATTCTGATAGCATGTATATCAGCATGTAGCTCCTGTCTAGGGCTGCATCTCTCACTTTGTAATCAAAACTGACTATTTTTCCACCAGCATGTATGGGCACTGCTACATGCGACTTGATTCCTTCTAATCATCAGTGTGAAAAATGGCCTAAAATAGGGTTTCATTTGTACATAATAACCTATTTGTGCCTGCATTTATGTTCTGTGATATCAAATAAGCCTTCTCTAAGTGTTCACCAAGGCACTGTAACTGCTGCACCCAAAAGGTTAGTTTATTAGAGGCAGTAGCGACCCAGTGTAGATGCCTCTGAAAAAAAATAATAACAAATGTTCTTTCACTAAAAATTAAATCTGGTGCAGCATGCATAGCAAATAAAGTGGCCCTGGATGCTTTCTTGCAGGAGGTTTTTCCTTAAGCATGCATTTGTCTAAAGAAATGAGGCTGCGGTCAGCTTTGTGTGGCCAGCGCCGTGATTCAATGTGACGTACAGTGAGTCTGTGCATATTCTTTTGGACTGCCTTCGTTACTATAATCAGGCAGAGTCAAATCGGCTTGTTGGTGACGAAGCCAGAAAAGAACCCTGGTTCCAGAAGATGGCCTCTACTGCGGATAGCCACAAGGCACCTGACACGATAGATTTCAACTGGCAGCGCTCTGGCAACAAAACTTTACGCGGTACAAAGGAAGGGTCCAGCCTCCTCTCCCAGACTGTCTTCAACCTGCGGAAAATGGAGCGGGTAGCTCCACGCCGGTCCACCATTTGGAAATGGTGGCGGCATACGTGGCGACAGCAGAAATCAAACGAGGAAGGGGGAAGGAGGAGGGGAAAAAAAGCAACAAAAGAAAAATAATTATTGAAGAGCCGCTGCGAAATAGCGGGTTTGCGTTTAACCACCCAAGCAATGCGGTCACATCCTATCGGCGCACATCCTCCCAGAAAGCCCGCTGCCGGATCCCAAATGACAATTGGGCAGCATATCTTATGCAGAAGTTAATCACAATAATGGAGCACAAAGTGTGGCTTAGCGGTCAGATCGTAAATGACAAATCTGTTTTACCTTCCAGTACCAGTTATCTGTGGAAGGCAAGCTTGGCTCTCGCTCTGAGCGATCATGCCGATAATCATTAGATGACAAAAGTAATGAGTCACATTATGATCAACAAAGGAGAATGGAGCTTATATGGCTTTGCAGGCTCACATTAAAAAAAATAGACAGTCAGCTTTCCACAAATGCCGGAGCTATACATTGAGAGGAATGACAACCGCACAATAAACTGCAGCCTTTTCTTGCAGTTGTCATAGTTCAGCAGACACCAGCCATCGCTGCTGACAGACCAGCTGGGGAGCTTGGGAGGCCTTCCATTCTGCACCGTGAGGTACAGTAAATTACCCAGCACCGTAGAGCAACATCTGTTTCTGTGCTTGTGCCGAACAAACAAGGCAATTTAAAGCATACCAAGGGATAACCAAGCAGCAAATGAACATGACCCTCATTTTTTCCCCCCTTCTTACACACATGAGATGCTAAACTTCACTGTGCGAGCGCTACATAAAGCAGCCAGGCTGTTGTTTGATAAGGTGTTGTCAGAGAGATTTTACATATTTTCTGGTGGGGGGGGGAAGAGAGATCTCTCTCTCTCTCTCTCTCTCTCATAGTATTGTTATTCTTAGAATCCTCCCACTTCTCTCTTCATTTCTCTTATACTAAAGCTAGCACTTAGCTTCCAATTCATTCTAGATTTTTTTTTTAAAACTGTTTCAATATACTTATAAATATTCAGTCTTTAAACCCTAATTTGCTATACTTAGTTCACATGCCTTCAAGCATTTGTCTTCCAATTTCCACTGAATAAATGCGTACTAATGAGAAATAGAGCAAGCTGCTGAGGCAAAGCTGGGTGACTTGAGCCTGGCCTGCCACCAGCTTGTGATAGGCAGGCAAATTGAGTTAAAATGAAAAGTCTTGTCAGCTGAAATACAACATGGTAGCCAAACAGCAAGCTGTCAATCATCCAGCCAAAACAAGGGACCGCAGGTAATAAAAGGTCATTGCAAATCATAAATGCATTTGGCTTTCGTGGGCAAGTTAATTTTAATTAAACATGAACTTTATCTGTAAATGTTTTATAAAAGTTACTGTGTATAATGTATTGTTAATTTTACACTAACACATAGCAGGTAATAGGGTACTATAATTATTAGAGTGTATTGTAGGAAAATAGCTATTGAGTATGCAAATATTGGGGGGGGGTCATTTACCCACAGGCATCACGGTGTGCCAACACAAACAATGATCTGAAACAAGTACATTTGCATCTTACTAAGAACTAAATGGTACTGCCCAGCCCATTCCAGGAAAACATATTCATTTCTCTTAATCCAACCAACAATTTTAATGCTTAGCATTTGTGTTATGGCTATGCATTCCATATTAGCAGTTTTTGAGTTCCTACGCTTTCGTGTGTATGAAACAATTTTTCAAGCTGTGCTCTTTTTGCAGGAAATATCTGGGCTTCAACAATGACCTGGGGCAAGAATACTTCACCATACAAATGAATGGACTAATATTAAACAAACGAACTGCCTAAACATGCCCAGCATTAAAGATGCACTAAGTATATCTCTGCTTTACCCTTTGCATTTCCATTATAACCATAAAAACCGACAGACCATTCTCATGTGTCGTTTACCATATTAGAGCTCCGTTGTGAGCCATAATGACTAATAATGTATGTTACTCTGCGCACACAAATATGTGGATTTGGGTTTCGGGAAAAGTCTTACACAGACAAAACAAAGTGTGGTGCCCCAGAAATGCCATTGGAAAAAAATAATCAGGGACAAAATTTGCTAGTTTTGCTGTGGGTTGAAAATTTGGGGTTTTGTTATTAAAAATCACATACCTGTGCTTAGAATTTAGAAATAAATCAGGCCATGTTGTTCCCTAGACCCAAAGAATTTGACCATAATAACAACGTTGCTTCCTGGGAAAGGCTTTTTAGCAATTCTTGCTTATTCTTCATGGCATGAGGAATCCAAAAAAAGGCTCTTGTTATAGTAGGCCAAAAAGAGGACGGAGAATCAGAGCGCTTAAAACAGGAGAATGAGATGACAAGGTGATGAACATACAAGAATCCCACCTGGTCTGCCTTACTCGAGAGCAGGGACACAAATCCTGGTTTTCTGTGCTCTGGGTTGGCGCAGGGGGAGTGGGAAGAGCTCAGTCTCGGAGGTTGGGGCCAGCGAGCTGCAAGGGCAAAGGCAGTGCTGGACCACAGCCTTCCTGCGACGTGGGGATTTTTGGTGCGCAAGCCATGCAAATTGGGACCTCTGTCCCTCCTACACATTTATTAACAAAACATCCCTTTCCACTGAAGCATGAATTTAATTCTCTTATGGTACAGATTTTTTTTCTATATTATTATTTTATGGGACAGTATCCAGCCCTTTATGACTTAAGTGCCAGAAGAATTGAAATCTAGCTTCTGTTCATAACACATTATGTTTAACGCGATTATAAAATTTAACAAAAGCGTTACAAGAATACTACAAAGTAGGATGTGGCACTTTCCTCTCAACACATAAATCAAATGTTACCAAGGTACTTCAAGATTTCAAGGAGCAGCAGAGGAATGACACGGTTAATGTTTTAAACTGTTCATACCATTTCGCACCAGATGGTTTTAGCAAAGTACACGCTTTTATTTTCCTTATATCTACACTTCTGGGGTGCTTTGGGTGTTGTTTTTTTTTTCCCTTGCCATTCCCATATTGGTCTCCAAATACAAAATAAATTACCTCTTCACCTTCTTGCTGCTCAGTAGCTCAGTAACTTTCCTTTTTTTGGTGGACGCTGATGGATGTGAAGCAATTTTACTTGTGTTCCTTAGAAGTACATTAAATGCTTAGAATGTCATGCTATTCTTCGGAACTGTTCTTGTCATCAGATACCTCCCCTACTTCAAAAGCATCTTCCATCAGTTAGAGATAAATCTACACCAAAACAGCTGTGACTCCAGAACTACTCTTCCGCAGACTCACGCTACAAAAGATAAACATTAATGCTCT